TTCCCTCACATTTTAAGGAGTGCTTGAGATTCTTGCTTCCATAGCTGAATTAGGGAGCAGGTTCCAAAGCAGGGGTAGACAGCCCCTGTGAAACAAAACTCTTTTGGCTAAAACTGCTGACTTTAGAGGCAGCCGCTTCACAAAGCAACCCTTGAGTAGGTTTCATTGCTTTTGTGTGACGTGGGACTTCAGAAGTCTTCCCCGTAGAAGGAAGCAATCTTCTGGTTTTCCTCCAATCTCAACTAATGAATTGAGGTGGAATATCACAGAATCATAGAATGGCCTAGACTGGAAGGGACCTTAGAGGTCATTTAATCCAATCTCCCGGTCGTGGGCAACTAGATCAGGCAACACGTGGGGACCGAATGGGGAATATGTGATGTCACGCTGATTCTCAAAACGCTGTTGTCTCTGTTGTTCACAAGGTAGTGGTAGGGCATCTGAATTGGTGGCTTGCTTGTGTCTAACAGTTGCTGAAAGTGTCTTAAATTTTTAGGTTTCATTCCCAGCCAATTTTGAGAGCTAGGGTTGAAAACATCTTTGGATTGTCAGCCTCTTCTGTCACATACCTGCAGCCCTAAGAACTATGTCTGCTTTCACTCTATCCTGAATGCTAGTCTGGTAATGCTTCAGGAAGAGTAAATGCAAATTTTCCTGCCTTTTTTTTTAATTATTTCTGATTTTTAATTCCTAACTTAACTCCCTGGCTGTAGTCACTTGTCTGTCAACCTATTTTTAAACTGTAGTCTCAGGTTAGCTGGCATTTATATAAGAATCTGCATGTGCACTACATTCTCCTGCAACCTGTGCAGTATTTTACTGTGTTTTCTTGGTCAGACCATCTAGATTTATTTGATATTTTCAGTATGGCACCTTGTAAGGAAAGGAGTGACTGAGGAGCTCCAGGACCTTTATTGTCGAGTGGAAGTACTGTCAGTCTTCATTATTCAGACTCTAGTGTATGGAAAAAAAGTCCTCTGGAGGCTACTGACAACTGGAACTTGTTAGAGCTGTCTTTGCTGCTAGTAACTCTTGGACTACTCAGTGTTGCAGACAACAGAAAAGTAATGTCAGCTAAAGCTGCCTAGGTAGGAGACACAGTTAGGATATGCCTGCATGAAATGTTTTAACAGTCTGATGCATTTAATTTTTTTTTTTTACTGTTATGATGAATGGTATTGTGGATAGGTTTGTTTTCTTAATCTAATTAATGATGGATTTGTTTTTATCTTTGTAGAACCTGCTCCCGTTCCACCAATTCCAAATGAACAGCAGTTGGCCAGATTGACTGACTATGTGGCTTTCCTTGAAAACTGATTACCCTGCTCCTGAATTTAGAACAACTTGGGAATCCTGTGTACTGACAGTTTTAGAAACCTAAGATTTATTTTATTTTGTATCTGTTAAACGTTGCAGCGTGCCCTACTCAAATGTGTGAAGTATGCAGTGTATATTAGCCCAATTCATGTGTTGCCAAAGCCAAGATAGCAATTGAAACAATCTTTTAACTCCTGTAATATTTATTCAGTAGGTACACAGCAGTATTACATAGTAAGTTTTTATTGACTCAGCAGAGAGAGTAGGAACTTTCTTCTCCATTTCTAATATACTTGGAAAAGATAAGGAATAATGAAACGGGATAACTGAGGAATTTTTATGCTAGTAGGTTAGTGCTTCTGTGGTGAAGCACTGCGGTGCTTGGCATGTTGAACCACAGTACAGAGTGGAGTACTGCCCTACCCATATCTGCAGAGAGAAAGTGCTCTGATGAAACAGTAACTTAAAGAAAACAATTTATAGTAACTCTTTTGCAAGGATATTTGTGGCATATTTATAATTGATCTCTTGTTGGCTTTTCTGGATTTTTAAATCTTCTTGTTCTGATGTGAGAAATTTCACATTGGGCGTATTTTTACAGCAGAATAATTGGAGATGTTTAAGAAAGGCAAAACTTCACTTTGAGGATGAATTTTTACTTTTAGAAGGTTTTGAGTGGCGTAGGACACCAGATATTTTGCTGGGTAAACATATACTTTCTTGAGGCCTGTTATGTCTTGGTTCTTTTCAGTACACTGGGCCAGGATCTACAAGAAACAACAGCTCTTGCCTGTCCTTAAGCTTTCTGAATTACTTCTGCAGTTATTGGAGAGGAATTTAATAACTAGAGTAGGTGTCCCTGCACAGAGACCAACTGGGATGGGGATGATACATTATGCTGCGATGTCAGTTTGAGGAATACATTTTCTGTATCGGAGCACTGCTGCGTTAATCTTCAAGAGTGGATTTTAGAAGCAGAAAGATGACTTGTATTCCCAGGCTTCTTGTTTGTCTTATGCTGGTAAAAAGGCTGTGGGAAAATAGTGGTGCTTTGAAGGGCAGTGCACGCCTTCCATGCCCACCCCTGCTTTTCAACTTCATATTCAGTGGTTTCATCAAAGATGGCACGTGTGCTGTATGGTGTGATTGTTTTTCTTTCCTGGTGTGCACTACCTACTGTACATTCTCTTGCTGGGGATGTGTTAGCAGGGAGGAATTGTAAATTGTGCACTGCTGCTTTGAGAGCTCCCTTTATATGTAAACACTTAATCAAAACGATTATTTATTTGAAGCCCATCTAAGAACTTCGATTTCTAAATTTCAGTGATATTAAAGAACATGTTTACACTGACCCTGTGTACTTGATTTTATTTTTTTTTTATTTTCTGTGGAGTACAGTTCTGGTTTGCCTGTTGGTTTTTTTTAATGAATTCTTACTGGTCTAATTTGGATAGGGCTAGTTAAATATTAGTGTGGTACATTATGCCTAGACAGGTATTTTGAACTGCTCTGTGTGCAGCAATTGTATGTTTTTACATTGAAAAACCACTGATACCCTTCAAATGCCTTTCAGAATATTCAAAGGTGTCAAGTACTTGAAGAACTAAGTGAAAATTTCCCGTTCTGTGTACGTGTTGTGTAACTCTGCAGTTTGCAGCACACAAGGACAACCCTACCTGTAGCAATGAAAATCTGACTTGGTTAAAGTCTTAGACGTATTAAATGGTAATAGGGGAGAGGAGCAATGTTGATACTGGTAATCTGTGTTTATCTCAAATCTAGTATGAAATCTGTGTCGAGCATAGTTAGACTCTTCTCTGTCCAGTTCTAACAAGCTCATGATTTTGAGATCTCTGAGCTGCTCTAGAATTTAAGCTGGCTCTTTACTTTAGATATTGAATTAATTCATAATTTGAGTACCATGCTTCCAGCCATGCTTTGGAATCCAAGCTGTTTCAGATTTTTTTCATCCTCCTTGCCCTTTATCATGGTTTCTGGTTAACACATACCCTTTGGACTGCTTGTTGCCACTCTTACTTGTCCTGTAGCCGACATAGCGCGGCTTGTGACAACAGCAGAGTATTTTCTGTTTGTTCTTGATCTTTTCTAAGATTGGCTCTGTTCTGACATCTCTTGAGCAGTGTAGTGATGACAATGACTTGAGTATCGCTCAGCAGGAGTGGTAACTAGGTTGGTGTGTGTCACTGCATGTCTTTATCCAGGGTTTTCCCCTCTGGTTAGTGCAGTGCATGCGTGGATAGCAAGCGGGCACTAAACGCAATAGGTGACATTTCGGTGTTACAAGACACTTCTGGTCTTCATAATCAGACTTGCTTTTGATTTCTTGAATACCTTTATAATCCTGCTGTTGTTGCCTTGCTGATGTAAAGAACTTTGTTCATGGTGAAGATAACAGATACTACAGGAACTTATGGTACCGTCCTCCACTCTGAAAACCGACTACTTGCACTTCACCAGTCCTTTCTCCTTTAGTCTACTCATTTATGTAGTTTGGGAAAAATCTACTGTATATGAAGTAGACTGCTTAACCCACATTTGCTGAATCTTTGTAGAAAAACTTGGATTTGAAGCTGCCTTAAATCAAACCATACTTCCTCAGATATTTTTTCAAAGTGTTTTGTTTTGTTTTTTTAGTATTTCTCCTTTTTACTAATGAAAACACTGCCCAGTTCCCCATCTAGACGTGTTTTTTGGATTTTAAATGGGCAGGTGTGGAGCAGGCTGAGTTTAAACTTGGTAAAGGAGCTAGAGGTATTAAAGGTTGCAGAAGTGAAGTAACACTGGAACAGGTCTCAATCTGCTGCCAATGATACAGCTTGATACAAATGGCTTAGAGGAATGTTGTTAATTGTAATGAGACATTTAGTCAGGCTTTTTTGGCCTGTATTGAGCTAATAAAGTAATTTTTTTACTTTTCCAACATGTTCTTCAGATCAGTGAATAATTCTGTCCTGCAGCAAGCTACCAGCTGGTTTACTGTACCTATAAATAGGAAATTTACATCCAGTGGCAACTTCATTGTAGTTCTTTGCAGAGACAGTGTGATACATTGTAATGATTCATTTGGTTCCTGAACTGCACTGTGCTATGGATCCTCAAAATGGACCTGAGAGCAGTCTGAAAGTACTGTGAAATGATATGTTTCTGTTTAAAAAATACTGGATCAGAAAGTTTGGAGTTCAGGTGGGTCAGTAGTGAACTTTACGGTTGGCTTGAAAACAAATCCAACTTTTCCATATCTGCAGAGGGTCACTAGGTAGAAAGCCAGGTGTAACTGTATAGCGTAGCTTGTTTAATTAGATGAAGACTTAACCAGTCTCAGGCATGTAGAGAGAAATCTGTCTGTAGAGGTGTGTTTAAGCTGGCAATTAGAGATACATGCTTGATGGGAGAGTTCAGCTCTCTGGAAGGTGATGAGTATCTCAGTGCAGTAGCTGTTTTTAGGTTTGCTCTAATTCATTTCATGGTCTTGAATTGAGTGTAGTTTGATACTATGGAAATATGTAAACAACTTTGTGACATGTGGCACTACAAAAGCCAAAATGAGATGTATTTGTAGGAGAGTGTTTCTCTTCTTCTGACTTGGGCCTAACGTGTGCTAAAATATTACAATCTGAGGGATCAATAATAAAAATTCTGCTGAGTGAAAATGCTGGTTGGTTTGTTAGATATGATTGGTGTTAAAGGATTTCAGTTTACACTTTCGCTGCTCTGGCAACCCAGCATAGCTTTGTGCTTCCCAGTCCAGACCCCTCTCTTGGTAAACAGACTGTGTAAATTATTTCCTCAAGTGATATCGTTCAGCATTGGAATACCTACCTGGGCTGCTTTAACCCTGTGCTTTCCGCTCAACAAAGAGGATGTATTTTTGTGGTTGTACTTGCTTTTTTCTTAACTGAAGCAGCTGGTGTGGGTTTTGGAGTTCTTCCAAACGCTTTTCCATCCACAGTGCTGGAGTGGGAGGACCTTTGGGCTAAGAAGCCATTAAGGATTCAGTTGGGAGCAGAGGGTCATGAAGGATTTGGAAAAAAAATCCATTCATCTAGTGTTTTGCATTTTCATCTGCATCCCACATGTAATTGAACATTGTTTCTTTGCATTTCATTTGCTTCTCCCATATAGGTCGGTGATGTTCATTGAGCTGCAGTTTCAGGCTCTATAGAGAAAGCTGTTTCAACTCAAAGGTGGTGAATAAAGGAGGAACTGAGTGTGGAGGCAGAACAGTAGAGTATGTCTCACTGCTAAAGATCCTCGTGGAAACCTTCCAGAGGCTTTAAGAACAAATCCTAGAAGATTTTCCAGGATATGATCAGAGCTGTCAGTAACTGAATTAAGAAAATGAAAGCAGGATGCACACATGGAAGGTCTCACTGGGCACTGCAGGAGAAAGATACTGATGTTGCTGTAATGCATTGTGATCGACCCTTCTACAGATACTCTGTTTAGATATTATTCTTGTTTTAGTAACCTAGATTAATTCTGAAACCCAATGAAGGTTTTTCTGCATTGTTAATCTATAAATTTTGTGCAGCAACTGGCTAGTCCAGTTTCTGAGCATTTGTGAAAGTCGTTTTAAGGGTGAAAAGAGAATCAGCTCAGCCTCACGCTAATCATTCCTCTGGTGGCCTGAATTTGTTGGTGTATGTGCAATAAAAACCCTGTTGGGAAAGTCTGGAACAAGATCTTGGCTGGGTGATTTGTTCTGCCTGTGCCCTACTCTGAGGGAGTTGACAGGGCCCTAATCCAGCCCCCGTGTTGGTGTTTCCTTACTTCTAGGGAGGACTGGCTGCACTGGCTGCCTTGGCCCTTCCAGTTCCAGAGCTGCAAACAATCCAAAGCATCTGCTGCCCCAAGCCTGGCTTCCTGCATTGAGAGAAGTGATCCCAGAGCCTTTGTAAGGTGTCTGAAAGTATTTGTTAATATGTATTTGATAGAATCCAAGAGTGACTAAACTATAGGAGTACAAAGAAAGGGCTCACAAGATTATACTGTAAATAGGCTTAGCCTTGTGAAGACTAGGACTTGTAAGTCACTGGCAAAATCCCAGGTAATCTCTTGGAAGTAATGGTGTAAATGGATGGCAAGCTTCCTGCAGTCCGCTTAGGAAAGCTAAAATCAAAGCCTAGGTTTGTTATAATTCAGAATATGTCTGCCAGAAGTGATGGAACCACAGATGCCTTGAAGTACCTAAATACTGAAGGAGGAGCCTACTGTATTTTGTCTACG